GGCACCACGTTGATTTGAGAGCCATTCGTTAATACTTTGAGGTCATTTGTGCGAATTCCTTTCAGGTTATAACTGTTTTACGTTATCCCCCAATTTTCCAAGTCTAGAACGGATACGTTTAATCACTTTTGCAATCGGGAAGTCGTGGGCTTTGGTTAACGATCACAAATGTCAGATCAGCACCGTCTTTACTCGATGAATTTCCACAGTAGCTTTTCTACCGCAGAACCATGTGAATCAATCCATGGTCTTCTGATGATATGTACACGTTTTTTGTGACTGGAGTTTGCAATTTGGCAGCCTCCGACCCTTTTTCATCTAGCGTGACTTGTTCGTGGAAACCGCCATGCTTGTAGGGCAGTGCAGGGAGTCAACTTCTCGTTCACCTTTGGACAGACACGACCGGTGGCAACGCCCATTTGAAAGGTACGGCAGCGTGCCGTACCACTTTGCACCGCAGACTTGGACAAACCGACAAATTCGTCCAGTTGTAGCACCCTTTCGGTGCACCGGTGGCACCATTTGAAAGGTACGGCAGCGTGCCGTACCACTTTGCACCGCAGACTTGGACAAACCGACAAATTCGTCCAGTTGTAGCTAGCACTCGGTGCCTAGCTGCCGTGCCACACGGAGGCACGAGGGCTGGGATACTTCCAGGTCGCCCAAGCCTGGACAGGGGAAGTCGAGTGGCAGAGGTTGGGTTCGAACCACGAACCTTCCGGTCAGTAAATTCGCGCTCTAACCACTTGGTCCATCTCGCCGACAAACTAACTCCTGTTCCAAGCTCAAAAATCACTGTCTTGTAGTATGGATTAACTCTGGCCTAATTTGTACCATTGCCTCAACCATTGTGTGAAATAATCGTCCACTATTTGAAGATTCCTGTTGTATAATGTTTCTGATTGATAGCCAATCGACCCTATCTTACATTGTAGCTACGATGCCTACCATCATGCAGTCAGATGTTTTGAGCGACTGTGGGTACTGTGCCAGCTTCCTCCCAGTGCAACAGATCTACTAAACCAATCATCCTTCACTGATATCAAACAAACCGCCAAGCTGGGAACTCTCTCCGGAGCTTGTCTACTGGAAGTGACTCCGTCGCCCAGCTCTGCCCGCACATTGCTCTACTCCATTCTTCAAGAGGAGGTTGTCCAATCCACGGATGTTCTGGCACATTTTGAAGTGTTCAGCTGGCTGATATCTCATGGGTTGACAGATACCGCAGTGGCGCTCAACTCACCACACTTGGAAGCCTATTTACGCTCGCGACTGCGCCAGTGTCCTGATGACCCGGACCTACGATGTTTGTTGTGGCGTCAGTTGGAGCGCCGTGGTTCTAGACTGGAAGCTGCTCAGGTACTAGAACATTTGGCGGTGACCCCATGTCGCAAACTGACACTGGAAGCAAGGTTGGACTTTGCAGCTCGAGCCATTGTGACCGTGAGAGCATTACCAAGTGGGTTTGTTCGTGATATTCTGTTTACTTCATCGCACATTTGTCAGTCTTGGGGCTGTTTTTTTTCTCACTTTTGACAAGCATTACTCCCTCTTTGACGTAAATAGCCTGGTACACCCTGCTTCCATCGTTAACTGATCTGCCAATCTGCTGATTCAGGATCTGAGCGATGTCAGACGTGATTTTCTCTCACTCAGTTTCGAAATTTCTCCCTGTATTGCTGTATGACAGTTTGTGCACTTCTGCCGCCCATAAACAACCGGCGCTAGATCTCATCAGAGGTTCATACCAGACGTCCACGCCACCTTTACTTCGTGGGGTGGCTCACATGCGGTAACACAAAGGACTCTGAATGTGCATGGGGCAAACAAGTCTGTACGTCCATATCTTGAAACGTCCGCAAATTTTAATCGCTGCGTTTCTGTAGAACTCTCTCTGCCACCCGACAGAAATCTAAATATGATACGGTTCTCCAATGCAAATCGAATCACTTTGAGCGTTGCTGATAGTCCGTATAGGACCGGGCCGAAACATATTAACCGGAAAAACTATAGACCAACAGATGATGATCTGCACAACCGTGCGTATCATTGTGTCTAGGATTCAAGAACAGCCGTTCAATCCAAGAACGTGTCATCGATGTGGGAATACCCTCGAGAAGGGTAACCAATGATACGTTCTCATTCCTCCCACACACACCCTCTCGCACATATCATCATCACCATCATAATCTCCATAGTCATCATCATCCGCATCCTCATCGTCACCGTCATAATCGTCATCATCTTCATCATCACCATCATCATCGTCATCACCATGATCCGCATCCTCATCGTCACCATCATAATCTTCATCATCATCATCATCATCATCATCATCATCATCACCGTCACCATCATCATCATCACCGTCATCCTCGTCATCACCATCATCCGCATCCTCATTGTCACCGTCATAATCGTCATCATCATCACCGTCATCATCGTATTCATCATCCTCATCATTGTCATTGACGGCAGATGAAAACGCTAGTGCTTCACCGCCGTACAACCATGTTGACCTGTTCCAATGAGTCCTTAGGCTAGCCTACCACAGATGTTCATTGTGCCTACACCTCCAACACTGAGTCAGACAATTTGGACAGAAGCTGACAGCTTGAATGCCACTGACATGAGTTAGCCGCCATATCGTCCCATGCCTCCAGCCAAGCACAAGGAGTGGCACGTAGATCCTTCCCTGGAAGGCAGCACCCACACTTTTTCTACACCCTTCATTTCCACGTCAAATTCCCTCCACCCTGAATTGGGCGCGGATTAAAGCGCTAGCTTTCATAGGCAGTGATGCGGCATGGCCCAGCCACATTAGTTTCCAGTACTGGATGCACTGTTTGAGTGAACTACCGTTTGTTTCGTGAAAAACCCGCCTTTCAATCAAGTTATTCTGAATAGTTTGGTTTTAGCCGACTCCAACCATAGTTCGGAGACATCGGTGGTCAAAGGCCCGCGAATCTCTCAGTCTCTGCGCCCAAATCAGCCGAATGGACCAACTATATACTCCTTTGATTCAGTCAGTGGCGCAAATTGACGAAAGCCATTCTGTCCTTTGAGATTCGCGCAAAATCTAATGTAACTTCCGACATACGTATGGTGTTCCACAACTTCCAGTGTCCTCCTTGATTTCTTGGAGGCATGTTCAAAAGATGTACGTCCTGCAGAACGAATTTGCACGTTATGAACGCGAAGTACCCGCTGAAGGACTGGATGACCTTGGTCAGCTTTTCTAATAATGCTTGGGCTTCGTTCTGTTTTTCAGAAATAGAAACAGTGCCGTCTCCCACATATTCCAGGTCAATAAGGTTCTCGCTCGGGGGGGGGGGGGGTAACTCCGAAGTTTGGAAAACCCGCCAGTGTTCGCTTCGTTATTTCATCAACAGAGAATTAAGTCCCAATTCGAGCAAGTGACCATCCTTGTTGGACACCACGGCTCATAGAAAGGTCTTTGTATAGCCCCCCCTTACGCTTTCGCTCACAAATATGTAAATATAAACTGTACATGATATTCACGACCCTCTGGGGCTTACCCTATCGCTCAAGCGTATTAAAAAAAACGTAGCCAGTCGACAAAGTCTAATGCTCTCTTAAAGTCAAGGAACACCATGATTTTAGGGCGCCAATACACACCTGGTGACGTGTGAAGATGCAGTATACGTAGCCCCTTTTCCGCCGGAATCCTGCTTGCTGTTCTTGTGTCCAGTCTTCACAGCCTTTCGTAAGAAGAGGTTAGATAAACGACGCAGAGTCTGCTTCCAACGAGGGTCAAGCTAATTCCTCTGGGATTTTCACACTCACTAGGAGCGCTTTTTGGAAATGAGCCCAGCTGTTGACTCACTCCATTTAGTTGGAACGGTCTCCTTCGCCCAGTGGTTAGAGCGCGAATTTACTGACTGGGAGGTCTGTGGTTCGAACCCGGCCTCTGCCTCTCGATTTACCCTGTCTAGGCTTGGGCAACTTGGCAGTATCCCCTCCCTCGTGCTGCTTTCGGGTGGCATGAAAGTTAGGTACCGAAACGGTACTCCAGCTGGATGATTGATTGATTGATTGCTACCGATTGTAATCAAACCCGTAGCACGGTGTCGCGTTGTCACACTTGACAATGTTGATCCCTGTTCGTAACTTACCCGGACGGTTCAGGGTCTTGTTGCATAACAAGTCTTCATTTAGTCAGTCTGTATGGGAAATCTACATATTTGTTTCATAAAAAGGATGTTCTTCTGGGACTTGTTTGTAAGGAATGTGATTTCTGTCGGAAAATAGACGGTCTATGTTACTTAATTTTGCACGGTTGCACACGGACAGCCACCTGGCAGTGCTGCTATCCTGTTGAGTGTGCATCTAAAACCTACCAAGCCGTTTAAATCAAAATGTCCCAACCAAAGGAATAATTGCCTGACGCTTTGCAATTAATTGATGCATCGTTTGCGAGCCACATAAACTCCCCGGTCAGTTATGCAAGAACGCTGAGATGTGGTGCACAACTGGAGCTCTGTTATTCAGAGTTGAAATAGCTCAGTGATCCAGGCGCGAAATTACTGACCGGAGAGTCCGGGGTTCGGACCCGACTCCAGGGCATCTCGACTGCTCCCCTCTAGGCTCGACTGGCCCGACAGTATCTCAGCCCTCACAGATCAGTACATCGTTACAACATTTACGGTGTTCCCTTTCCCCTAAAGCAAACATTTTCAGCCACTCCCGTCAGTGGTCTTCTTAGTGGTCTCATAAGCACCGACTGCAGCACAAATCTGGTCCATGTGCCACAAAGTTCTGTTCGAACTGCTTGCAACGATTTCGTGACTTTGTCGCAGTCTCATGGGGTGAGTTGGCTCAGTGGTTAGAGTGCGAATTTACTGACCGGAAGGTCCATGGTTCGAACCGACCTCTGCATCTCGACTTCCCCTGGCAGTATCCCAGCCGTCGTGCTTCCCTCGGGTGGCATGGCAGCCAGGCACCGAAAGGATGCTACAGCTGAAGGATGACCTCGATCATCCAGTGTTCCTTCGGTCCGATATTCAGACTCTCTTATAATAATCTTTAAATGGGACAAGTTGATGACCTGGTTCGTGTATATGCCGTTTTATTTTTTCCTTTTTCCCGCTTGCACTTTATAATTTTCCCACAACCTCTAAATGTGTGGGAAACTGACTGAATCTGGTTGTTAAATTTGCACAGAACTTGATGAGACGATCAATACTCATTTGTACTGATGTTTCCAGTTTGGGCTTGCGTGGCTCGGTCATGTGCTACGCTTGTCAAAACACCGTCTACCGGGACGGATGTTGTTCTCGGTGCCTCCGGAATGGAGGAAAAGGCAAAGTGGACAACGTGTGATTTGGTGGAAGGGTGTGAAAGAGTTTGGGTGCTGTTGGTACAGTACGTCTTCTAGGATGACCTCCCCGTGACCCCTCTTGCGCTCTTGGCTGGAGATATTGCAAGAAATATCGGCTGATCGGTGTCAATCGCTTTCGTGTTTTCACATTGTCTAACCGAGCGTTTGGTGGTGTAGGCACCTCAGAATGCGTGCGATAGGCCACCGCCAGATCCCCCCCTTACCCGCTCTTTTCTTTCCATTCTAACACTTGAACTATGATAGACAAACCCCGTGATTATACAGCAGTGAGGCATCAATGTCAACACTGATGTTACTGTATCTGATGATAAGGATGATGACCCCTATTTCTTGCTTATATTGTTTTCATCTCTAATGCGTTGGTGAAAACTCACCACCTTTGGCTATGGAGGTTCCCTTACGGGTTCCGTTCCCATCATTTTTTTTTGACATGCAGTTGCTCAACAGGATGTGGACTATTTGCATGATCTGGAATCTCGCTTGGAATTGGGCCAACTGCAACACCAGTTGTGTGTCGAATTGAGCCAGTTGCTTGACTCTCGCCGTAGTGCTGCGTATTCTCCCAGGCGCACACGATCACCCCTACGCCCGGTGACCGATGGAGAGTTGCAGGAGGCAATATTCAAGCTCTCTCATGGTCCATTGCTCAGTCTCAGTGAAATGTTTACTGACTACGCGGACAAGTTTGGACTTCACGAATGCAAGCTGGTCCTGTTGTGGGTTGGGGACTCCCAGGTTTGTTTGGACTTTTGTTTACCAGAGCGTTTTGGTTATTTACACCGTATCTTGAGAGCTTTGACGTACAGAACTACCACGATTTACAGAGCAGAAAGAATCATTCTTTCATTTGAGGAGTTCATGGTTGATTCCATCGCATTCGAGGTTTCTCCTAGTCAATGTACAATTTACTGTATGGCTCAGGTTTTCATCTCCAGAACTAACGCCTTCATAGGACGGACCTTGAAGGTTAGATGACTTCAGTACTCGAATACTCTCTTGATTCTTGGAGTAAGTTGTCGACTTCAGTGTCGCCATAAAAAGCCCATCTTGCAATTGCGGTTTGTCTAATCGTTCTGTGCGCATCGAACAAACGTGCGCCAGCCTCCCTTCTCTTCGGAATTACTTTCCAAAGCATCTCGTAGAAGACGGACTTCCGTGCCACACAGCACCAGCCTCCTAAAATGTTTTTCGTATGGCTCAAGACACAGCAGGATCCGAAGGAAATGCGTAGTTGGGCTCGAAATAGCTCAGTGGTTAGAGCACGAGTTTACTGACCGGAAGGTCCGCGGTTCGAATTCCCCTGTCTGGACTTGGGTAACCTGGCAGTATCCCAGTCCTTCGGGTGGAATAACAGCTGGGCACCGAAAGCTTGTTATAGCTGAACGATTATCTTGCTTCTGTCGTAATTTAGGAACCAGAGGAATCCGCAAAAGTACAGAAGGAAATTGCTGTGCTTACAATCAGGGTTATCTTTGAACCATGTAATCATAAGGATTGAGGTAGTCAGCCTATATTGACACACACCCCTAAGCTATTCCCTGGCCAGTGAACTTGTGTATTTGAATTCTCATGGCCTCGTACCAGATCCAGTTTACTTCAAGTTTCAGTTTGATCCGCCGCACAGTTTGCGTGCAGTAGGTCCAGTGTTCAGTCGAACTAGCCCCTGAGAATCTGGTAAGCCACCGAACAGGCGTAAAGATGCCTGGTTAATTCTGTCACTGCTTGACCCGGTGTAGGACGCATAGCCTGTACTAAGCTGTTTGAAGCCTGGATTTACACTCTGGAAGCCCTGATATACTTCCGGTTTCCACAGTGCTGTTTTAAGCACTTCCGTGTTTTCAAAATCAAATAGAGACGCGAAAAATCAGGAAGGGAACTTCAATTGAAGAAAATTGCTTTGTCCCTCAACATATACATTGACTGGCTGAGAAAAATAAATTCCGGACTTGTGTCGTGTACTTCGAATACGTTTATTCACGCGATATTCCCCGAATATTTTCTGGCAGGTGGGCGCAAGTAGAACTGACGAAACATGATCACATTTTTGTAGTGTACTACTCATAAGCGAATTCCGGACTTGTGTGTGTCGTGTGCTTCGAATACGAGTTTCCGCGCGATATTCTTCGAACATTTTCTGACAGGTGAACGCAAGTAGAGCTGACGAAACATGGTCACATTTTTGTAATGTACTACTCACAAGGTTGCTGAAAATCCGTCGACAGCCCATGACCGGTTTCGCCCTTCTTGGGGCTCATCAGGAAGGCACAGTCCCCGAGTTTTCGTCAACCTTATGTTCTACTTGAAACCAAACTGCACGAAATTAGCGAACTACACTCATTTGCAAGCTAATTTGATTTTGCGAGAGGCTCACCTGCAACGCAGCTGAATCTCTCGTTTGTGATGTTTCCAAGCAAATGAATGTTCTGCACCAGGCCGCCTCATGTTTCAGTCACTAGGATGATCACATTTACCCAAGAAGAACCAACAAACTCGCCATTGCGTCCAACAATCCAGGATAACTGAAAGTTTCACAGTGCAATCTTCCGTTTGTTAGCGAACTCACATGGCTGGATGATTTGGTAAGAGCCGAAAAATACGGATGCCCTGAAACGAACTCTACACGGTGGAATAGTTTATAGCATACTGTCACCTATGGATGCTTTGGGGATAAGTTGTTTCAAAACTTGCTCACATCTGTATGGGTTGTGCGTATGGTGGAAGAGAGCCAGAGGCGGTCAAACAATGAATTGACTCAACTGCGCTGGTCGTTGCCATGTTCCTGGATGGGGACCTCGAAACGCGCCATATCAATGGTTACAGATATTGTCAGACATGGCCCAGTCGCGTCCTCAATGGCGCTCGTGCATCCAAGCTATTGCCTTCAATTCATAGCTTCTTTCTTATTCCCCCTACTTAACAATCCACCTACAATGCTGTATTTACGCCCTAATTTATCAGCTCCCGCCTGCAATGCGCAGCTACTTACCCCACCTCCCCGAATCATCGGTGAACGAAACCTTGGCAGCTACAATCACTGTACGACGAGTACGCGGTTATTACAGCTGACAATGATGATGATGGTTGTCCTACTCGATGACAGATGATGGACTCGCTTCCTCGGAAGGGAGCCAAATGGACTTACTTTCCCTAGGGCGGCACCGTTTATGTTACTAGTCTCTCGCCTTTGCTTATGTGACTGGTTGGTTCTTTGTTCATGTTTTCAGTAAGCTGTTCTGGCATTTTTGCTTTAAGGCCCCCAGAAAGAGTCGTTTTATCTGAAACTTGTTCAGTGTTTTCTTTTTATAAGATTGGTCAGGCCGAAGTGTCCATATGAAATATGACTGAGTTGGATTTCCCTCTCGTCAAATATCGTTTTCCTATTCACTACTGATAGATGGGTTTTCATCTAACGTGTGTATGGAAATGCGCCAGCAATTGGTATGCCAGGTATCTTTCCCCCCGAAAAACCACAAAGCGCATTCTATTTTTAGAAAAAATTACTTTCCGTTGGTTTTTCTCGGCTGAAGCACAGTTCTCCAGTAGTTTGGGGATTTCGGAGAAATCCGCACACATTCTGTTTCAGCTCTTCGGCGGTTCTCACAATCCGTTTAATTTCCCTAGATAGCCGGCAAATGTAAACAACTACGTCTGATGCGGTCAAACCGAACAATGAATTGACTCAACTGCGCTGGTCGTTGCCATGTTCCTGGATGGGGACCTCGAAACGCGCCATATCAATGGTTACAGATATTGTCAGACATGGCCCAGTCGCGTCATCAATGGCGCTCGTGCATCCAAGCTATTGCCTTCAATTCATAGCTTCTTTCTTATTCCCCCTACTTAACAATCCACCTACAATGCTGTATTTACGCCCTAATTTATCAGCTCCCGCCTGCAATGCGCAGCTACTTACCCCACCTCCCCGAATCATCGGTGAACGAAACCTTGGCAGCTACAATCACTGTACGACGAGTACGCGGTTATTACAGCTGACAATGATGATGATGGTTGTCCTACTCGATGACAGATGATGGACTCGCTTCCTCGGGAGGGAGCCAAATGGACTTACTTTCCCTAGGGCGGCACCGTTTATGTTACTAGTCTCTCGCCTTTGCTTATGTGACTGGTTGGTTCTTTGTTCATGTTTTCAGTAAGCTGTTCTGGCATTTTTGCTTTAAGGCCCCCAGAAAGAGTCGTTTTATCTGAAACTTGTTCAGTGTTTTCTTTTTATAAGATTGGTCAGGCCGAAGTGTCCATATGAAATATGACTGAGTTGGATTTCCCTCTCGTCAAATATCGTTTTCCTATTCACTACTGATAGATGGGTTTTCATCTAACGTGTGTATGGAAATGCGCCAGCAATTGGTATGCCAGGTATCTTTCCCCCCGAAAAACCACAAAGCGCATTCTATTTTTAGAAAAAATTACTTTCCGTTGGTTTTTCTCGGCTGAAGCACAGTTCTCCAGTAGTTTGGGGATTTCGGAGAAATCCGCACACATTCTGTTTCAGCTCTTCGGCGGTTCTCACAATCCGTTTAATTTCCCTAGATAGCCGGCAAATGTAAACAACTACGTCTGATGCGGTCAAACCGATGAGGTCTCGTTAAACAGGGCAACTTTCTCAACGGAGCCCGTGGCCTACGGATCTCTCGGGTGTGGTGTTTTAGGGGAATAACAGAACACGAAACGCCCACTTGGGATCATAGTTCCATGTCCTGTTTTGATGGGTCACGCTGATTTCATTTCAACTGTTCTGAGATTCGGCAACTCCATCAGCCGTTGCCCGATTCGTTTGTCGGTATCAATGAATAACAGGTAATAAACTAGGTCCATCTGTTCCGTTACGAAAGCCCTGAGTTCCATTTGTTCACACCGCTCACAGGATGCAGCGTTGATCAATGCGATTTGGAGAGATCTTCTTCGTTCCATACTGAATACAGCGGGTCCAACATCTGCCTACATTCCTGGTACTAAACTAAGCTCTCCCTTGCGTACTGTCGATGCGGAAACTCGTCGGCGAAATGTGGACTCATCACACAAACTCGCGGAGCTTGCCATCGTTGATTGTCTGGCTCGATTGGGGAATCGGTTCTCTGTAGATGGCAGTTTGTCCTCCATCAAGTCCCAAACGTTCTTCCCCTTGGGTGAGTCACTAGCCAATGATTTTTCCTTCGGAATCCTCCAATCATTCTATTTTTTTTCTTATGTTTCCCCATTTCTCCATACCGTTCTCGGTCGTTCGGTTTTTCAGTAGGTTTCACCTCTTTCATGCGCGCGCAAGGCACTGGTGTGCATCCTTGGATTTTGAAACTTCAGAGTCAATCGCGACTTGCAGATGATCTCGTGCGCCTAAACGCTAAATCAATGGCTATCTAAGGTTGTCGTGCGCTCCTCAGCCTTTCATCTGATAAGCTGCCTCTGGCGATCACGTGAGTGCTTACTTATACTAAATCACAGCATAAATAGAATAATGACAGACAAGGCCATCGATTTCGAACTGGGTTCTTGATAACAAGGCGATCATAAACGGCTTTCATGAGTGTCCTGTAGTCAAGGAAAGAACAGAGAGAGACCTAATCATCTGGGGTCCTGGAAAGATTTGGACCGTACAAGTTATCTGGGTTCCACGCATCTCATAAGTGAAGTCCCAGTGGTATGACAATTCTGGAGTGGGGAGATTGAACAGCATGGATCGATGCTTTAAGTTTCGGACGCGATTTGTTTCGGTCTGACGCCGGAACTTTTGATCTGCTTTTTGTGACGACTTTTGGGTCGTGGATCTGCGTGCACGATGGCGTTCGGCTGACGGGCACATCGCCTGTTTTATTGATATTTCGGTTTGCGTGTTCCGGTTTCCATGTTGCCCGTGTGTCCTTCCATCTCATCTCATATACGTCGACTTGCTTGCTACCCATTTCAGGTGAAATCCTCTCCACACTAGAATACTATGCAGTTCAACAAAAGCTCCCCTGCACCTGGGTCCCCACAATCCTACGCGATACGCGGCTGACTTGTAGCTCAAGTATTGTCGAAGCCTACGATACGCTACTTCATTCGAAAAACACTCTTTGGCGCCATTCTGATGTTCGCAGTCGTTTGTTCTCCGCTTTCGTTACCGTGATTGAAGACTTCTTGAATGTGGTCTCTATTCAACTGCCCGCACGTCAGCGCATGCTTCAGATTGGTCGTATCCTTGACCGGGTGACTAGTAATCTGGTCGATTTGAACTCCACCTCTACCAAGGAGTCTAAAGATACTCAAACACCCCGGGTTATTGAACGGCTTCGTCACGTGCACGATCAGCTACAACGCTTCTACCGATAGCGCACCGTATGCATTGTTCTTCGTGTAAAACTCAGTGTCACCACGCCAATCCCACTCGTTTTTTTGCTAATACATGTATACAGAGATTGCGTGGGTGTTTTTTCTGGAAAACTTAAGTCTAGTTGGTTGGTATTGACGGTGTCTTTTTGTTTAAGGCCAAAGACACCGAAAGGTGTCTATCGGATGGCCTCAGTTCGGGGGGTTGGAACTACGTTTGTTTTGTATTTGGGCAAATGGTCTAACAATTAGGATGGAATTTGAGGTCACTGAAAAAGTTGTCATCATATATGTCAGCACTTGTCGAACCGAAGTAGTGTATGGTCGACAACAAAGTCTACGGGGTTCCACACAAGCTAACTGA